GGGTTTCTTCCAGGTATTTGTAAATTTGTTAAAGTATTTAAACAAAAATCTTATTATATACTTTTCTTGACTTTTAAAAATTCCTTTGGTACATGTGATAACGTGTCAGTGATGGATCCAAATGGCTACCTTTCCAATACACGTGGCATTAACTTATTTAGGGAAACAAAGGTTTATTGGTAGTCATATTTTGACTAAAGAATTTCTCTGCAAAAACAGAACCAAAAATCATCCTATAGGTCATGTTCTCACTGTGTGCTTCGGTTATAGAATAATGAACTTTTTTCACCAAAGAAAGATTAAATTATGTTTGGTGCTGAACTTAATGTTCCTTTTAAAATGTTTCACTTTGTATAATTGCATAGAATTAAGCATCTATGTTACCAATTACCATTCTAACCAATGTATCATTGTATTACATTGTATTGTATTGTATATTCCCACCTGTTAGACTTGGAGGGAAACTTTAGCTACAAACTGTTACCTGTTTTGAGATATGTATAGAATATTACGTAATTTTCATTGGCTTTACACTTCTGACACGCACAGAGTCACTATATGAACATTTTAAAAAGTGATGCATGATCTTTTTTTTGTAGTCAAATGAATGATTGATAAGAAAAATACCCTGTGCCAGAAAGTTGGCACACTGTTGGTACAAATCTGGTATTTTAGTGTAACTAAAGTTGAAGAAAGGTACTCTGTAACTGTGGGCTTGTGAAATTATTTCCTTAGATTTTAAAATGCTTTTAAATATGCCTTTAAAAATATATTATCAAGAAGGAATTAAAAATACTTTATTACTCATTCCCAAAACTTGAACAAATATGATTTTCCCCTTGGGACAGGAAGTGTATTTGTATTATTACATCTAAATTCCTATTGATAGTGTCATTTGCCACCTGTCCTTTGACCCTTTTTTTTTCTTTTTGGCAAGGCAGTTGGGGTTAAATGACTTGCCTAGGGTCACACAGCTAGTAACTGTCAAGTGTCTGGTCTGATAATTGGATTTGAATTCAGGTCCTCTTGACTCCAGGGCCAGTGCTCTATCCACTGTGCCACCTAGCTGCCCCGCTTTGACCCTCTGATAGTAGTAACTGCAGCAAGTTAAGAATAACAGTCAATAGCTTTCAAGTTAGTGATTGCTCAGAGCTGTTGCTGGCTGTTTTGCCTGCACTGACAATTGTTGCTATCAGTCTAAATCTTTGGGTTGTCTTGCAAACTTTGAGGTCAGTCAATAAGCATTTATTAAACACCTACTATGTGCTAGATACTTGCTAGGCTCTGGGGAAACAAAGAAAAGCAAATGACAGTCCCTGTCCTCAAGGAGCTCACATTCCTTTGCCTAGGGCAAACAATGACTAAGTGAAGTGTTGTGTATACATTCCATGTAATACATATTCCATGGACATAGAAAGGGCAGGCTTTCCAAATCTGGGCCCTCATGATTACTACTAGCTTGTGTGTGGAAGGGAAAAACAAGACTTCTCAACCCAATGATGCTAATTACACCAAACATTGTAATCTCTGATGTGTAACTTTGGCACAGAACACACTTGGATACAAGTGCATCTTTGTAGTTATGCCTCTGTTTAACTCAAAAGCTAGAGCTAGGATAAACAAATCTGCAGTATTATTTGAAAAGAACATAGTTTTGACTTTAAATGTTTATCTTAGGCTTCTCCTATAATGCAAAGTTTTTATATTGATTGTTTTCTTGTTTTATTATCTGAGAATTTCTTTTATTCTACACATCTTCAAATTAGTTGGAAAGTTTGACCATAGTTTGACTAGTATTACAGGTACATGCTGTCTATCACAGTGCAGCCCTACTTCTCTCACTGCCCATACAGGATGCTATTTAAGCATAATGGTTCTTTAAATATAGATCACTATGCTATGGATTTGATCCTACAATACCCTGTAGCTTAATATTTGCTATTTTACGTTTTTAATGACTTTATTTTTAAGGGTATGATTTGTAACTGATTTTTATAAGCACCTGAATGTAGATTTGCAACTTTTTAAAAAAAACAAAATAAAATTTTTAACAATTTAGAGGTTAATGTACTTCAAAGGAAAAATGTGAAACTTTTTGGTCAATGCAATAAAATTTTTTAAAATTAAGTTGCTATGAAACTCTGCATTTGTTTATAAATTCCCTTGGAGAACAAAAAAAAAGTAGAGCTGAAATAAAGGAAATAATCTTATGTTGCACAAAAGACACAAAACTATCCATTATGAGGAATACACTTATATTCCAGATATATTCAGATGAATTATTTCTCTAAGGTAGAGCATAATAATGCAGATCAACAGAAAACACTGGATAAAAAACAAAACATTTCTATTCTGTTTTATGAACATTTTGATTTTCATTGTTGCAGATTTACCTTCCTGATTTGTTATTGATGATAATACCAAAAGGAACTTGTAGCCACTGTGAACACAAACCAACCATTAGCTAAGAGAGGAAACCAAGAAGTATGCTGGAATTTAAAATTTGTTATTGGCATATTAGTAAGCTTGTTACAAAAATCCGCACAGATCTTTTCTATTTTTCACATGTTCACCTAGTTTCATTCTGAAATGCCATCAGCATGACTTTGAATGCCACTGTCATAGAGAAGGTCTAGTGCAGGGTCCAAGTTGAAGAGGGATTCCTTATTGCAACAAGAGTAAGGGACAGCATATGAACACAGCCTTGTGTGCTACAACACTGGTTCCCATGCAATGTAAAAAGAATGCAAGGAAAGCTCCTAGCATGTTGAGGACATGGATAAGAGTCACACAAGACAGGCAGGCATGAAGACTGTGATCTGAAGGGAATACCCACATCACTGGAATCACAGTAAAATTCACAATACAATCACTAGAATATTAGGAATATATTTGCTAGCTTTCAAAATGCTTTCACATACACGATTTCATTTAATCCTCACAACAGTCCTGTGAAGTGGTTAGTCCAAATATTATAATGCCCATTTTATAGGGACCACCCTCAGTTTAAGGAAACAAGCTCAGAGAAGTGTTCATTTGTCCTAAATATTGAACTGAACTTAATATAAAGAATATATAAAAATAATATTTAAAAATTGAATATAAAGAATTGAGAAAAAACTCAGGTCTTCTGACTCGTATTCCAATATTCATTTCCATTACTCCATAAGGCTATTTCTAACATCTCTTCTATCTAAAGTTGAAGATTATTCTTGCCCTCATGCTTGTAGATGACAGATGATGCCAAGTACTGAGCTGTCCAGTGGTTTCCCTGGTTTCTGGGTAAAGGTTTGAGTTGAAGAGGTATGACATGTCCCAAAAGTTATCTGGGCTCTTTGTGCTATGGCCATCTCTGATGGATTTACATATTAGTAGTTATATTTTTATGTACAGCACTTGGTTCCAGTTCTGAGCTTCTCTCATGCATGGTCTCTGTACAGAAATTAAACAAGATGAGTTTTGTCAAAACAGGGGGAGCCTTAATATGGAGCCTGCCAGACTCTCTGAACAAACTCCACTTGGGAAAGGTCCAATCAAATCCTCTGAACTGAGTCCTTTTCCCTTATCTGTACAGACCCAAGTATGAGGCACAATCTGACCCTGGGGCCAAAATGAGTCAAATTCTAATGTTCTCAGGGAAACCTTGGGTGGGAATCATTAACCAATTGAGAGGGTTTTCTGAGATGGAATCTATTCTGCACAAATCGAGAGATTTGAGTCCTTAGTCATGATTCCTGCAAATCATAGTTGATGCCCAGGCTAGGGCAAGATCTAGAAGACAGGAAGGAGGGAGGTATGTGAGGTGCCTGATGTTAAATAGTGCTGGACCTGGAGTTAGAGAGCTAGGTTTGAAACATGGTTTCATCTGTAAAATGAAGAGAATAATACTTGTACACTTCACTAGACTGTTATCAGGAAAAGGCTGTGTAGATCTTCAAGTGTCATAGTTAAAATGCATTGCTTGGCATGCATGAGAGAGATTAACTGGTAAGACAGGCAAGTTCATCAATTTTTTTTTAACTTACCAACTCCTTGTTTTTCCAGTGTTTAGCAGTAAAACCAGGATAAAGTCAAAAGCAGAGTTACTATGTCTTCTTTCCAGGGAGCAAGACAAAGGAGAAAATAAAATAGTACTCTCCTAACTAGGGGGGAAAATGGAAATACTGCCCAAAGAGCAGATGTGGTGGACACCAGAGGCAAGGGAGCATTTAGGGGCGTTAGGAGGCTGTGACATCCCAGAAGGAGACATTTTTCCTCTCATAACACCCAACCCAGAACACCAGAACACATGGAATACAGTAGGTACCCAATGATGTTCAAGTGAGAAATAAAGAAAAAAAGTTTCTTGGGATTGTAGGATTCTACCTAAGGCAAACCCAGTCTTGTTTCCTTTTACTTCTAACTTCCTATGTAGTTATAAAAGTCAAATGAAAACTAAACCCTAAATTTATTGAAATTTTTGTAAGAAAAAAATCGCGTAGCCGTTGTGTTAAGGAATCACAGGACCGCAAATGGAGGGACAGAAAGGCCTTCACACAGCCTCCGACCCTGCCGACAGACGAAGCCCAGGCCCGCAGCGCTTTAACCACCCGCCCCAGCTGACGCCTCACACTGGGTTCTCCCTGAAGAAACCCGTGGAGCGGCGCATGCGCACGGAGCGCAGCGGCGCGCGGGCTGCCTAGCGGCTTCACGAGCTGCTGGGGAGGATGGAGCCCGCGGGCCGAGGGGCGGGTCAGGGGGCAGCCGGGAGGGCGGGAACGGGCGGGCGGCGCCTCGTGCCTCGTGCCTCCGGCAGATACCGCAGTAGCCCGCGGCTCTGGGGCGGTGCGGCTGCTTCTCGAGAGCAGCAGAGCTGGAGGAGCTGGAGCTGCACCGCGGCGGGGCCCCGGCCGGACAACGGCTCCTCCCCACGGGACCCTCCGAGGCTGGGGAGCCGCTGGGGACGGACCCCGAGGTGTACGGGGACGGCGGCGGGGACAGCGGCGGGAGATGCGAGGCCGGTAACGCGCTGCGCTGGTTCACCTCCATGGTGGTCTACGCTGCCTTCCTGGGGCTGGTGAGAGCCGGGGGCCGGGCGGGAGAAATTGAAACGGGCAACCCTGGACCCTGGGGTATTCGGGGGGACCTTCGTGCGCCCCAGCCCTTGAAATGACGGCAGCTCACGTGGTGCTTTAAAGTTGACAAACTAAGGGTATCCCATTCGGTCGTGACCACAACTCTAGGAGGTGGGGGGGGTCACTTGTTTTCCCCATTTTACAGATGGGAAAAGTGTGACTTGCTCAGGGTCACCCAGCTAGTAAGTGTCCGAGGTCGGATTTGAACTCGGGTCTTCCAGACTCCCGGCGCTCTTTACCCACTGCCCCATCTAGCCGCCACCTGGCTTTCTTACCTCCCCCTCTGCCCCTCCCCCAGTTCACGTTCACCCTCCGGGATATTTTCTCCTGCCGCACCGACTTCCTACTCTGGCGTGCACTTAGAGTTTCTCGTGTTTTGCACTACTTTGGGCACCCTGAAGTGGACCTGCCCTCTAGAGCCCCAGGCTCCTGGCCTCCCTCCCCGCCCCCCCCCCCCGCCCCGTCCTGCCAGTATGTTTCTCCAGGAGTGCGCTTGCAGGACTGGAAATGTATCTGGCCAAGCTGCTCACCTGCCACTCAACCCAGTGGGGCTCCTGCCGGGAGCTGGGCCTCCTGCCGGGAGCTGGGCCTCCTGCCGGGAGCTGGGCCTCCTGCCGGGAGCTGGGCCTCCTGCCGGGAGCTGGGCCTCCTGCCGGGAGCTGGGCCGCCCACTCGTGGCCCCTCACCTGCTGGTCTCCCCTACACCTAGTTGTTGTTTGAGTGTCTGCTGAGAGCCGCAGCCCGGGATGGCTCCACTGTAATTAATGTATTTCACCCGCCTACAGCCCTGAGAATAATCAGAACTGCCTCTCCCCTGTCAGCCACACTGCCCTAGGGTCATTCATTTAGGTATGTCCCTCCTCTGCAAAATAAGGGAGATGAACTAGATGGCCTCTGTGGACCTTTCTGGCTGCATCAGCATCTGGATCTTTGGGTCATTCATTTTTTGCTTTGGGACCTGTGACTGTTAGCTAAGACCTAAAATGACCTTTAACCCGGGCGAGGGGTGTAATTTTAGATTAATGATAAGGCTGCTGAGGATTAGAGGCTTGGTGATCAGTGTATTGGAATAGTAGGAGACCTGGGTTTCGGTTCAGAAACCTACTTTGTTGTTTACTGACTGTTTAACCTCGAGCAGTTTGCTGCACCTCTGAGGCTTCTCTTTTCCTTCCTCATGGGTAAAATGAAGGAGTTGAAGTAGATGATCTAAGGCCCTTACAGACCTAAATCTGTAATTATTGGTACTTGATCCCTTTTCCGATCCCTACGATTTTTAAAAGGGTCTGAACTGTTGAATTCCTCTCCAAAATGTCTGTTACTTAGGGTTCTGCTGACACTTTTCCTGTAGGAATGCCATTTATTAAAAACTGCTTTCTAGAAGCTTTTTTGTGAAGCGACTGTTTTTATAGATGTTTAATGATTATTAATGTGTGTGTGTGGAGGGGGAGAGTTTGGCTTAGTAGTTACCCTTCCCAAAGTATTAAACCTAAGAGCAACCTGCTTCTGATTGAAGTTCTTGCCTTTTGAGTCAAAATTAAAAAAAAAAAAAACTTTTACCTTGTGTCTTTTCTAGTTAGAAAATAGTCTTTCAGTCATCCAGAACAGTATTTCTTATGTTTGATACGTATTGTACAGGATAGATATACAATAGAAGGTATGGTCATTGATTAGAAAGGGACCTTAAAAGTCTCATCCAGATTACTCATTTTACTGACAAAAAACTGAAGTTCAGAAAGGATCCATGATTTGTCCAAGATCACAGAAGTATGAAGTAACAGAACCAGGATGCTGACCCAGGTCCCTTAAGTCCAAATTCAGTGCCATTTCCCTGGCATCACATTGTCTTGCAAACGATTTGCTTGCGTTCAAGAAATAAAGCAGTGTTTGTAGTAAAACAGATATTTATACAGATGATACTTTATTTTTTAACTTTTTTAACATAAATAGTATTTCATTTTTTCTGATTACATTTAAAGGCAATTTTCAACATTCATTTTTAATTAGATTTTGAGTTCCAAATTTTTCTTCCTCTTTCTCCCCTTCCCTCCCCACAACAAGATATGAGTTATACGTGTGCAGTCACATAAAACATATTTCCACATGAGTCATTGTGAAAGAAGAAACAGAAGAAAAGGAAAAAATCATGGGGAAAAAAACCAAAGACAATTACTGTAGTATGCTTCCAACTGCATTCAGACTCCATCAATTCTTTTTACACATTTACATTCTTAAAAATTAACCCCCAGAAGCTTTTGTTTATGTGGGTTATATTCTTTGATATTTACTGTATAAGAAATTCATAAGTAACTAAACTGACAAATTTTTAAATTTTATCAATTCATTAAAAAATGCCAACAATAAACCCATCACATGTTAACGTAACATTTTTTATAAAAAAACATTTCTAAAACAAAAAATAGTGAGAAGAGTGGCTTTTTAAAAAAACATTTTAGCAGATATCATAAATATCTGACTTAATAGAATCTGTATTTTCATGTCTGTTTCTGCATTTAATATGTTGTAGTTGGAAGTATATGAAAAAATTGGGGCAGCTAGGTGGAGCAGTGGATAGAACACTAGGCTTGGAATCAGGAAGACTCATCTTCATGAGCTGAAATCTGGTCTCAGACACTAGCCATGGGCAAGTCACTTAACCCTGTTTGCCTCAGTTTCCTTGTCTGTAAAATTAGCTGGAGAAGAAAATGGCAAACCATTCTGGTATATTTGCCAAAAAAAAAAAAAAATCCCAAATTGGGTTACAAAGAGAAAGACACAACTGAAATGACTGAAAGACAATATGAAGAAAATCAAAGATACAGTCAATAGTAAATATTTATTAAGGCCCTACTGTGTGCCAGACCTTGTGCTAAGTGCTGTGGCTACAAACATGAGTAAAGAATGACAATCCTGGCTCTCAAGAAGCTTAATATCTTATGGGGGAAGACAATACCCCCCCCCAAAAAAGGAAGCTGAAAAATGAGGGTGATTGGGTAATTTATTTGCCTTGAGGGAATGGTGGGGAGATCAGAGAAGTCCTGCAGCCAGGCAGGAAATGAGATGTCTATGCTGAATCCCCTTGTTAAATGGAGATTTTGTAGTTCTTAACACTGCTCTGCAATCAGAGACAGGAAGTTGGCAAAAAGGAGGAGTATTTTAATAGCCTTTTCAGATAATTATGGATATTCTTTGCTGCCACGCCAAAATTTGACAAGTGTTAGGTACTTAAAGGTCAGTTGTAAATGTAGAATATGGAACAGTATCAATGAACCTTTCTTGCTCTCTGACATTATCTTTTACCCATGCATAATTTTGTAGCATCATATATTGGTCATCTGGGAAATATTGGTTAACATGCTATCAACATCTGGAAAGCCAAGAGAAAGGTAACTTTTGTTATATTTTCTTATTTGCAGTTTCACCCAATTTCTTTGGAATAAATTACTTTCTACCGTGAGTCAGAACTCCAGTATGTGTTTCATCTTTTTTTTTTTTTTTGGCCTCTTTTGTTGTACAATGTGCTGCTATTGAAATAAGAGATTCTGATTAAATTAAAATTAAGATCTAATTAAATGAATTTTTAAAAAATACATAGAAGAAAACAAAAACTAAGTCTGCTACTGGTTAAGCTATGTCTACTAAGCTCTGGTTAAAATTTAATGACTATAGCATTTTGTTGGGTATACAGATTCAGATTCACATTTGCAGTACTTATAAATTATGATATCCTGGAATGTGAGTGATAGTGAAGATGAAACTTTTGAAAAATTATTCCTTATGGCGTAACACTGATTGAGTTGCAGGGCAGGCTGCTCATACTTTGAAAAAAGTTAGTGTAGGGTATAGGAGTCTGGAGTTGGAAATCTCTGATAATGTTAGCCATGGTGCAAGTCATTTAACCTCTCAGTGCCTCAGGTAACTCTTTAAGACTATGTTGGGGGACAGATAGGTGGTGGATAGAGCATCGACCCTGAACTCAGGAGGACCTCAGTTCAAATTTGGCCTCAAAACAAACACTTGACACTTACTAGCTGTGTGACCCTGGGCAAGTCACTTAACCCTAATTGCCTTAAAAAAAAAAAGACTATATTAGAATTTCTTGCTTGTAGAGGGGGAATGTCCTACATAGATGAAATCGCAGGTTGCAACCAAAATTTTTTTTTACTACTTTTCTCAGTGATTTAGATTTTTAAATTTAAGATCATGTGATAATTGCATATACTTGTAAAATAATTAAAATTTTAGTTTTGGTATTATTAAACTATTAACCTGGAACATTGTTTTAAGATTCTCTAACTCAAATTTGAAATGACCTAGCCAAAAAACAAGGTACATTTGCTTTTTCAAGGAAATGTTTTTCAAATTTTGCAGCCCATCAAAACTAGAAAAGCATCAGGGCATGGTATATCAGAAACAGGACTGGCAGTTCAGGAACTTGTAGATCTTGTAATCCTAGTGTAGCCACTGTTACTTTCTGCCTACCATAGAAATATGTTTACCATGATTTCACATGTATAAATGATATCATAGTTCTTTTCTTCACAGTGAGTTAGGGAGGGAAAGAATTTGGAGCTCAAAATTTAAAAAAATGTTAAAAATAAATTATGAATTAAAAAAGGAAAGAAAGTGCTCTTCTTTTTTTTAATTTTTATTAATTTATTTTGATTTATCAACAATCACTTCCATAAGCTTTTGAGTTTTAAATTTTTCTCCCCCTCCCACACTCCCTCCCCAAGAAAGTGCTCTTGATATTTGCCCAAATGAAATTCAGCATAGTCCATTCTGTCAATTTAATCTGAACCCAGCTCATTGTCCAACAGCAGGATCCACCTCTCCTTGGTTCCCTGGTACAGATAGGTCAAGACCTTCAGCTCAGTATCCCTGGGAATAGGCTTAGCAGACCACCAGTCCTATTTCTAACCCAGCCATCACAATCATTATCACGGGGTGCAGTCCTTACAGAGAAAGGGTCCATTATCCTCACCACCACCATTAGTTGTTGATCAGTTGCCATGTATGGGGCAGGCAGGCTGACTTACCTAAATCAGCAAAGCATTCTGATGTACCCTGTACACTAGTCTTGCTTCCACCCTAGCCCCTATAGCCATCATCAAGGTGAGCAACCATTGAGGAAAAGGAGCCTGTCATCCCCACCACCTCCAACATTAGCTTCCAGTCAACTTCCACTGAAAAACAGATGCTGTAGACCCAGGCTTTTCAGCAGCCACAGGTATTAAAGATGTGGGAAAAGAAAATTCTCTCCTCTAATGTCCTTGGCACTGTCAACATTAGAAATAGATAGGGTGTTAACAGTGGAAATAACATAAAAGATTGATAGAGCTGTGAATTGGTCTAACCATTCTGGAAAGCAATTTGGAATTATGCTACAAAAGACATTAAATTATACATGCCCTTTGACCCTACTATACCGCTATTAGGTCTATATACTGAAAGAAATGAAAGCAGGAGGAAAAAGACTCATGCATAAAAACATACCTGCTGTTTTTGTAGTAGCAAAGAACTGTAAACTAAAGAGTTGATCATCTGTTGGGGAATGGCGAAAAAAATATGGTATATGAATGTAATAGAATGTTATTACGACATAAGAAATAATGAGAAAGTTTCAGAGAAAACCGGGGAGACTTATGAACTGATACAGAGTGAAGTGAGCAGAGCCAGAAGAACAATATGTACAATAACAACATTATCAAGAAAAATAACTTTGAAAAACTTGAGAGCTCTGATTGATGCAATGACTACCATGATTCCAGAGGACACTGGAGGAAGCCTGCTATTCCTCCCTTGACAGAGTTGATAGATACAGGATACAAAATGAGACGTGCATTTTTGGATGCAGCAGTGTGGGAATTCGTTTTATTGACTTTGCATATTTGTTTCAAAGCCTTTGTAACTTTTTTTTCTGGGGGAGATGAAGTGGTGATGGTAGGTTGAAGGGTGTGGGAAAGGATAGGAAAAAAGATAAAAAAGGATGGTTATTGAGGTATCTCTTTTAAAAATTTGGAGAACTGAAGGAAGGCCATAAAGAAGAACATAAGGAAGATACCTTTGAAAGCTAAAGGTTGAATTATATACTTAGAAAAAAAAGGAAACTTTTTATAATAGGGATTTTCAGTTTAATGTATACTACTTTTGTGCTATGTATATGGAAATGTTTGTTTTATTTTGTGTTTATTAAGTTCAGACTAAAAATAAACGAATTTTGAAAAAAAGAAATGACATTTTAAGAAGATGTGTTTGCTTTGCCATTCCCCTCAAGGAGTACTGGGTCTGTCTATCTAACTTGTACCTGAAACCTTTATGTGTTGTCTTCAACATTAGAATGTGAGTTCCTTAAGAGCAAGGATTATCTTACATTTCTCTTTGTATCTCTAGCACTTCTTACAGTGCTTTGAACATAGTAAATGCTCAGTAAATACTTTTTTATACATTCAAATATATGTTCTGATAGATTAGCCCAATGGGCATCATCCATCTGCATATCATGGTTTGGATAGTAGGAACATTATAGAACCTCCTAAATGAAACCTCCAAAGAGGATCCCAACAGTTCACCTAGGAAAAGTCAAGTGGCTAAAAAATTACCGTTGTCCAGACCACACAGGTTTACATATAATTTAATGATTGTAAAGTTTCATTTTTTTTTTAAACCATAGGGTCTGGGTGCTGGTATAATAGGACCTACATTTCAAGACTTGGCTATGAATGTGAACGGCAATATCAGTGATATTTCTCACATTTTTGTGGGCCATGCATGTGGGAGTCTAAGTGGTTCTGTGGTTGGTGGATTTCTCTTTGACTGCATGAATCATAATTTAATTTTGGGTAAGTAGAATACCTCAAACAGGTCATCTTGTGACTTTTCAGTAGATATGATGTTTGTATTAATGCCTCTGAAGACAGCTGGCCTTATTCAACATGACCTTGGTTCAGGCCCTGTCTCTGACACAACAGGGTGTGTGACCTTGAACATTTAAACTCTTAGTGCCCCAGGCAGCCCTCTAACACTAAAAATTGCAGAGCAGATGTTGAACTCTACTGGTAGAGGAAGTTTTCTCATTTGGAGTTCCCTATATATGTGAATGAAAATGAAAAAATATAAAAGTTAATATTAACCAAGGAATTGATAGTTATCTGTGTGTATGGATGTACAGTATTAAGGTGTTGTGTTCATATATTTTATTTAGCAGTTAGTAAGCAGCTTCTGTGATTCCAACATGGGAAGAGAATTAAAGCAAGGTGAATTTCCCACAGCTTGCTCCCAAGATGGGAAGTAACTTTTATTCTGGGATTACTGTGGAAATGGGTCGCCTCTAGGAAGAGTCCAGGATCCTTTAGTCTACTCAGAAACCTACTTTTACCCCAGGTACTATGTGGAATCCAGCGTCTTTTAAACTGGGACTATACAGATTCTTAGAATCAGAAAGGATCTCAGAGGTCATATAGTGCAAGTTATACCTGAACACAATTCAGCTCTTCAATGTCCCCAGCAAGTTCTTATCCAGCTTCCACTTGAAGATCTCCAGTGTTAACCTACAAATACATACTATGGCATCCTGTTTCATTTCTGGACAGCTCTGGTTGTTAGAAAATTATTCCTTTTGTCAAGATAAAATCTGATTCTCTACAACATTTACCCATTGTTCCTAGAAAGAAAAAGTGATAGGATCTTTACTTGGGGATGAATGGGATTGATAACTGACAACAGAGAGAATTCAGAACTGCTCAATTTTTACTTTGCTTCTATTTTCTCTGCTAAGGAGAATGACTTTTATACTGGAAATGACAGAACGAACATTACTAAAAGGAAGTTGATACCCAAAGTATGTCAAGAGATAATAAGAGAGTGCCTGGCTGCCTTCAATGAATTTAGGTCACTTACACCAGATGAAATACATCTTTAAGTCATAAAACAACTGACAGACGTGATCCCAAGCCATCGTCAGTGATACCAGAGATGGTGGAAAACAACAGAACTTGCACAGTCTGGGAAAAGGAAAAAGGTTTTGCTGTTTAAAAAAGAGAAGAGAATAGTCAGTAAAGTATCAGCCAGTGAGCTTGGCTGATTCCTGGGAAAATTAGAGAATGGATCACTAAAGACATAAAGAAATGGTGATTACCTTGCATGGCCTCATCTAGAGCAGATCATGTCAGATTAACCTCATTTCCTTTTCTGATAGTATTTCTAAATTAGTAGATAAAAGGAATAATGCTGTAGATAGTTTATCTAGATTTTAGTAAAGCTTTAGATAAAGTATCTCATGCTATTATTATAGGGAAGATGGAGAGATCTGCATTAGAAAATCTGCAGTCTGATATATTCAGGACTGAGGGCTAGACTTAAAGAATAATTGTTAATAGTTCAAAGGCAGGAGCTCTCCCAGGACAGTTCTCTAGGGATCCATGCTAGGTCCTGTGCTGTTTAACATCTTTGTCAGTGACTTGAATTAAAAACAAAAATGAAATGCTCGTCATACTTGCAGATGATAGCAAGCTGGGAAGGGAATAGCTAACACATTAGATGGCCACATCAGAATCCCAAAGGATCTTGATTGGCCAGAGAATTGGGCTGAATCTAATAAGATGAAATTCATTAGGGTTAAAAGTTGAGTATTATCCTTAGATACCAAAATGGATACAAGATGGAGGAGGCATGGTTAGATTGGTTAGATGGCAGTTAAGAAAAATATAGGGTGGTAGCAAAAAAAAAAAAGCAAATACAGTGTTGAGCTTCATTGGTAGGCATAGCTTCCAGGAATAGAGAGATGATAATCCTACTGTATTCTGCCCTCATCAGGCCTCAATTGTGTTTATTTCCCCACACCATAGTTTAAGGACACTGATAAGCTGAAGAGTGTCCAGAACAGGGCAACCAAGATGGTGAAGGGGGTTGAGTCTGTGTTCTGTGAGGATTAGTTGAAGGAATTGGGTATGTTTAACCTGGGGAATAGAAGACTTGGGGTGAGGGACATAATAGCTTTCTTCAAATACTAGAGGGCTGTCATGTGGAAGGAATTTGTTCTGTGTGGCCCTGGAGGGCAAAACCAGAAGTACTGGGGAGAAGTTGGAAAGAAGTTAATGTAGACTTGATGTCAGGAAAACCTTTCTAACAATTAGAGCTGTCAAAGAGTGTAATGGTCTCCTTCTAGAGGTGGTGAGTGTTTTCTTCTTGGAGGTCTTCAGGTAGAGGTGAAGTGAGCACTTGTCCCATAGGATATAGTGGTCAGTCCTTTCCTGTATAGATTGTATTACATAGCCATCCCAATCCCTTCCAGCTCTCGGATCTTGGGGTTCTCTGATTCTGTGAGTTAGTTCAGTGCTAGTCGCACAAGAGGTGCTGAATAAATGTTGGTAAAAGTTGAACTTTTGAAATAAAAAGTCCCTGATGCTTCTCCAGGCTGAATGCTGTAGGAGTTGAGGGAAAGGAGCCACATATCACATTCATAGCTGTATGAGTGATATCCATGTGCACTCTAATATCACATGCACTTCATCATATACACACACTGAAATGCCCTTGGATATACACAACCACAGTTAACATACCACTGACCTGTCCACATGCACACTAATACAGGGGTCTTAGGTATGAAGGTAGCAAACAATATATTCACATTGAGATATAAGCTTCACAGAATGTCAAAGTTAGGAACTCAGAGGTTCTCTAGTCCATACTGTCCTGGAACAAAAATTCTGTCTGGTTTCCCTGACAAATAGTCGTCCAGCCTTCAGTGAGGAATCCCATTACATCTTAAGGCAGCCCATTCCATCTTTGGATAATGGTACTTAGATGCTCACAATGCTTCGTCTAGACAGTAATTGTGAATATTCAGATGCTCACATTGAGATATTTTACAACACACACACACATACATATACATACACACACATACACATAAACACAGACACTCCCCTACACCTATCTGTTTACCTTAGATGACAGTTGTTGACAAATGAGAGTTCATCTGGAGGAAAGCTACTAGAATGGGCAAAGGGACTGGAACCAAGGCTGTCTGAGGCCACATCAAAGTAACTGAAGATATTTATCTTGGAGAAGAAAGGATTTGAAGGGTGCCTGATATGATAGTTGCCTTCTGAGAATCTGTAAGGTTGTTACAGGGAAGACCTTCTGCTTGGTCCCTGAAAGCAGAACTGAGTAACAGGTGGATTCATGGTGAAGATTTTGGTTCAGTGTATGTAAAAACTAGATAGCAGTTAGGGCTGCCTGAAAGTAATTGACTGCTGTAGGGGTGAGTTCCCTGTTCCTGGAGGCTGTTCAAAGCGACCGTCTAGCTGTGTGTTGAACTAACTGAGGGGTTTTAAACTTGGAGTCCATAAACTTGTTTTTGTAGTATTTTGATAGCTGTATTTTAATATAGTTTGTTTTCTTTGTAATCCTATATATTTCATGTATTTAAAAACACTATTCTGAGACTGGCTCAGCAGGCTTCACCCGACTGTTAGTGGGGTCTGTGGCACAAAAGAGGTTAAGAACCTTTGAAGTAGATGTTCCCTGTGATTTTTTGACAGTATAGTTGGTGTATTGGAAAGAATGTTAGTTTTGAAGCCAGAGGACTTGGATTTGAATCCTGGCACTGCTACTTGCTTACATGTGTGATCTTCATCTGATCACTTATAACCTCTTTGTGCCTACATTTTCTCATGTGTGAAATGGAGGCAGGATTGTACTAGATCCGTAGTATCAAACAAATAGAAATGAGTCCCTGCCAGCAGCATATTGACTTAGCCACAAATTAACATCATCTTTGTTGTATTTTTATTTATTTTTGTACAACATTTCTCAGTGAGCTTAACACCTCTGGACTAGAGGACCTCTAAGGAAGGTCTCTTCTAGCTCTAAATCTGTGATCCTGTGGTTCACCAGACTTGTTCAGTATGTTTATAAAAAGAAACTTCTGTCTTTCTGTTGGTAATTCTGTGGCTCAAATTTTGAGGCAACTGATAACATTCATTCCCCAGTTCATAAACTTAACTGGAGGCAGTGTGCCAAATAAGGGGAAACCTGTGAAATAGCTGTCTGGGATTTCATTTGGAGTCCCACCAGCTAATAGCTAAAAGAAAGAGTTTCATTCCTCATCTTGCTATGTTCAATAGTGCCACTGACTCTTCCTTTCCAGTATGTCAGTAATTATTTTTTAATTTATACTCCCAGCAGTCACTCCAATGGCTTTAGCTCAAAGGCAAAGATTTTTATAGTATGTTGAGAATGAAATTTATTTATTTAATTGTTGAAGTTTATTTCTCTAAGCCAGACTTCCTGACTTCCATGGCTGACTTTGTGTTGAAGAACAATTAGAATTCTTCCTCCTCAATATAGGCCAGTTTACTTTGACCTAATTTTAGACATTTTAGATAAGATTGTTTTTTGTGATAGTGATGACCCATGAATATGTGTTTGTATCTAATTTTTACCTTTCTTTTAGGACTGTCAACGCTGGGGACAGCTATTGCTCTCTACCTTATCCCCTTTTGCAAGAAAGCAATATTACTGGTTGTGATGATGGCTGTCTCTGGAATTTGTACTGGAATTTTAGGCACATGTGAGTGAATATTTCTGCCATTATTCCTGTGTGGAGGAGAGGAGGGAAGGAAAAGAAGATAGCTTCTTTTAGAAAACAGTAGAGAAAACTCTGTTTTGTCTAATTCTCAACTAAGTTATTCTTCCACATGGCACTTGTTCCTGGAACAGATATTGTTCATTTACTTAGGGGGGAGAAAAGGACAATAATGCTTGGCAGGTGTGAGGTTGGGTATGGGGGCCTCGTGCTTTGACTTGTGGCTATCCTGCTTCATAAGCAGTAGGTGTTGGTGGTTAGGATCCCCCAGAGAGGGAAGATTTCCTCTTTGACAGTATTTAGCACAACAGAATGGCAACTTTCATTAGGTAGTTAATCCTAATTATTATGGTACAGAGTGATTATTTAAAACCTAGACCAAATTTGGACCTACAGTCTGAGTAAGCAGATTAAGTTCAGTGAATATTTCCTAATTACTAGTTAATTTGCATATTATGTTCAGGTTGGGCATTGAATACTTGTATTGGAATGGATGCAAAGGTAATAGACCTAAATTGAAACCTGTTCCTTGCCCTGCCTATCACTTTTTGATTTTTTTCCCTTTTCTCCAATTTTCCTATGTTATTCCACTAAATCCTTCCCTAATTAGCTGACCTCTGATAACCACTAAACCCTTTGCCATTTAATGTTGTATTTTTCTAAATATATATGTAATATTCATACATATATTCATACGTACATGCCCCCCCACAAACATATTTAGGAGAAGGGCAGGCTAGACTTAGGATTTCATCAGCATAAGGATTCAGCAGTGAGGAAACTCCTTCTCCCTAATGCACATTGGCAACTGTTGTGCAGTCTTTAAGAGTGGCCAGAGTAAGTCTCATTTTTCCCATGTGGCAGCCCTTCAAGTGGTCATTCTTGGAGTCAGACCTGAGTTGATGACACATGCTGGCTGTGTGACCCTGGGCAGGTCATTTAGCTTTTCACTGCCTTAGAGACCTCTTTAGTATCATGTGTGTGCATACATGCATATGTAAAATGGTTTCTCCCACCATCCACCCTGTAGCTTCTTGTGTTTCTCTCTCCCCTGCTTTACTATAGTGGCTAAGGATGTGGGAAATAAAGGTTTGAGGCTTTTAGCTGAGTTTGATGACTTTTATTCATTGGTAGTTTATCTGCACATCTGTAAAGAGTTAGAGACTGTGTACCTATTTGGGTCACTTGACCTTCATGTAGATGAGTTTTAGAGGGTCCTGATAGGTCTTCAGATGGGCATAGCAGGATTCTGCGGATCCTCATGTCCTGAAAACCTCATGCTGCACCTGGTATGTGCATAAATAACATTTCCTCAAATAGATGTCTGGTGCTATGTCTTACAGGGAATTTTAGTAACTTTAATGTTATCTGATGATTAAAAACCGAATAGCGTGTTTTACTTTGAAGCACAGTTTGCTTTGTCACTTCTGTTGAACATGAGCCCATGGGGTCAATATTTCCAGCACCAGGACTTTCTCATCCTTTGCAGTTCATATCCTTCCATAAATCTTCCACAGAGATTCTACCCGTTGTGCAGTAGGCCTTCTTCTTGGGCTGTTAGCCTTTGAATGGTTATACCAGAGGTGAGGAACCTGCAGCCTTGAGGCCATATGTGGCCTTCTAGATCCTTAAGTGTGGCCTTGTGATTGAATTCAAGTTTCATCTTTGTTCTGTAAAACTTGGATTCAGTCACAAGGCCACACTTAAGGATCTAGAAGGCCACATGTGGCCTCAAGGCCACAGGTTCCCCATCCCTGGATACTATTTGATGTGTTGTCATCAGCACAGCACTAAAGGCTGTCCATCTACTTCCTTTTGTCTCACTCCATGACTCACATTCTTTTCTGATCAAGCTTGTGCTTGATGATGTCTTTTATGCCACTTCTGTGTACCAGTTGTTGCTTATACACTTCAGAATACTTACACCTACTCTGTCTCTCCATTGTCCTTTGGGTCATTTGGCTATTTTGATCCTTCAGAGAGCATGGCATTTATAATTAGGTAGGTTCACTGAGGAAAATATCAATGTTCACCGTGTCTGTGGAATTCATTTCTAAAACTTAAATTATACAAAAGTGCTCCAAAAGTATTAGAGTTCCCTGAGGTTTGAAAGTGGGTTAGTGGCATTTGGTTACTTAGCCTTTTGTGAGGTAACAGGGGGCAGGAGGTGGGTCTTGACTTGTGATTTCATTGGCACAGTGAACCCTAAATAAGGAAATACCCTCTAGCAATGCATATTAGTGACTTTTCTGCAACTCGGAGAGCTGCCAAGGACCACATGGCTGGCATATATCAGAGACAGGACTTGAAGCCAGATCTTCCTGACTCCCAAATTGGCTCTCTGGCTTCTGTGCTGGGCTTCCTCTTGGCTTAGCAAGTTACAGTTTATATTTCTAATGTACTATTTCTGACAACAGAACCTCTTCTAAACATAATTACCACATTGACTTTGAAGATATTACTGGCATACAAGAATTTTTAACACAAAAATATATTTCTTTTTATTATTTGTAGGTGGCAATGTCCTCATCCTGAATATATGGAGAGGTGAAGCAGCCCCACATCTGCAGGCCTTGCATTTCACTTTTGCCTTGGGGGCATTTTTGGCTCCCATACTGGCCAAGTTGGCCCTTGGCAGTGCTGTGCCCTCTGAAAACCACATGATAGCTGACATGTCAAACCACTCTGAGCTCACCCTGCCACCTGCAGCCGACTTAGACATCATATTTGGAGTACCTGCTAATAAGAATTTGCTGTGGGCTTATGTTGTTATAGGAACTTATACTTTGGTGATGTTTGCCTTCTTTATTGTTTTGTTTTTCAAAAAAACTCCATATCGAGAGAAAACAAAAAAAGCTGCTCAGATTCGAACTGCGAAATACCAGGATATCCTTCTTGTTCTCCTTTTTGTATTCTTCTTTTTTTACACAGGAGCAGAGATGGCATATAGCTCTTACATTTTCTCTTTTGCAACACTCCACGTTGGCATGAGTGAAAGCCAAGCAGCAGGCTTGAACTCTGCCTTCTGGGGGTCATTTGCCACTTGCAGGGGCATGGCGATCTGTTTTGTTACGTTTCTGCAGCCTGGGACCATGATTGTGGTAAATAATGTGGGCAGCTTGATTTCCTCCTTGCTTCTAGTGATTTTTGATAAGAACCACATTTGTCTTTGGGTGGCAACTACAGTGTATGGGGCTTCAGTGGCTACTACATTTCCTAGTGGCATTTCCTGGATTGAACAGTACATGACCATTAAAGGAAAATCTGCAGCTTTATTTGTAGTTGGTGCTGCCATGGGACAGATGGTCTTTCCTGTAGTGGTTGGATATCTTCAAGGAAATTACCCACATCTTCCTGGGATTCCGTATGTTTCATTGGGGTCAGCTATTGTGATGGGAGTTTTGTTTCCTATCATGTACAAACTGGCCACTGCACCTCTTAATAGCAAGATTCAGGTAAGTAGAAAGAGTGAAGACCAGAAGGCACTACTGTCCACCTCTAGGTTCAATAATGAGGATGAAGATGATTATGGAGAAGAGGGTGCTGAAGAAGAATGGGACAAAGTCGACTTTGAAATGATTGAAATGATGAGGAATTCGGTAATAGAGACATCTAGAAAACTTTTGAGGAAATCTCCCACAGAAATTTCTAATCAGTTATGGTCAAATGATACACCATTCAGTTCTTCTCTGGTTATTACTGGCAACTCACCTGGGAAGCCCCTCCCTCTAGACAAGGAAAAGAATGACTAATGGAGTAAAAGATGGATTGGTTACTGATTCCCTGTAATAACCATTGACTTTAAGGAGGCAGATCAGAGTAGATCATTAACATATTTTCAAACACATTTTAGGGTTTGGCATTTGTAGCTCTGATTTCAACAAATGGAAAATTCTGGTGTGTCATGTCAGCCCAGAGTCTTTGACAACAAAAGGAAGTCAGGTATAGTCAGGTGTGGCTAGTAAAGTTACTTTACTGTAAAGTAACCCTCTACATTCAGAGGATGCAAAGAAGGCATAAATATTTGAGAAGTTTCTTACCAGCAAAAGTCACCTAAAAGAGTGATTAAAGAGTAGAATAAATTACCGGTGTTCAAGAAACTACTGGTAGAATTGGTAAATAACCACTCGAGTATCTTTGCCAAGAAAATGCCAACATGGGGGGATGAAGAGTTGAACACAACTGAAAAACAACAATAGTTCAGATCCTCATCACCTCTCAATGGCCTAATTGGTCTCTCTTCCTCAGGTGTCTTTCCCTACTCCAATCCGTCCTCCACTCAGCTGCCACAGTGATTTTCATAAAATACTGATCTGGTTGCATCACCTCCTTCTAAAGAAACTCCATTAGTTCCCTATTACATTCAGGATCAAATATAAAATCTTCTGTTTGCTACTGCAGTCTGCCTCCTTTCTACCTTTCCATCCTTCTACTTCTCAGTTTAAACCCCACCTCTAAGTTTCCAAGCTAAGTAACTAAAAACATGTAGAAAATTACTTTTTCAGGGAAGAACACCCACAAGGTGGGCTCAAAGCCCTCATGTAGGAGGGAGAAACTACATTTTGCTAAAAGGTACCATAGGCAATGACTTAACAGCAAATGGCACAGCATCCAAATTCTTACAAGAAAAATTAAATTAGTTATAGGAGGAAATAGATAGTAAAACTATTCTAGTGGGGGATTTAAATTCCCTTTCAGACCAAAATAAGTCTAACCATATAATAAACAAGAAGTTAAGGAGATAAATAGAATTTTAGGAAAGTTAAGATATGATGAATATTAAATGGGCATAGAAAGGAGTATTCTTTTTTTACACCTGTGCATGGCACCTTTACAAAATTTGAGCATGTACTAGGGCACAAAAAAATCATAAAGAAATGCAGATAAGCTGAGAGAGTAAATGTATTTTTTTCAGACTATATGACAAAAAAAATATTCAATAAAAGGCCTTTGAAGCACAGATTAACAATAGCAAGTGAGCAAGGAGGTGGAGTAAATAAGAGTGCTGGGTAGGGACTCAGGAAGACCTAAATTCAAATCTGGCCTTTGACTCAATAGAGATTTGACCCCTGGGCAAGTCACTTAACTCCTATTTGTCTCAGTTTCTTATCTGGAAAATGGGGATAATAATATCTACATTCCAGGGTTGTTGTGAGGATCAAATAAGATTATAATTGTAAGTGCTTAGCATAGTGCCTGGCAAAGAGTGAGCAGGATAGAAATGTTAGCTATTAATTAGTTGGACCCTACATAACCTAGTCCTAAAGATTGAGAGAGTCAAAGAAAAAAAATCATAGAAACAATAATTTCATTAAAGATAATGACAACAATGAGCCAACATGCTAAAATTTGTTGTTGCCAAAGCAGTACTTGGTGGAAAATTTATCTCTCTAAATACTTACTTCAATAAAAGAGACAACAGATGAACAAATTGGAAATACAACTAAAAAAGTCCTTAGAAGACCAAGAAGTTAAAAACCTCCAATCAAACACTAAAATAGGGGCAGCTAGGTGGTGCAGTGGGTAGAGCACAGGCTATGGAGTCAGGAATTCAAATCTGGCTTCATATACATAACGCTCAGTACCTGGGTGACTCTGGGTAAGTCACTTAACCCCAACTGCCTCACCAAAAAAACAAAAATCACCAAAATAGAAGTCCTGAAAATCAAAGGAGAGATGAACAATATTGAAAGTAAAAAAACAAAAAGAAACAACAACAACAAAAAAACACTGAACTAATAAAACTAAAAGCCTTTGTTTTGGGGGAGAAAATAAAATAATTAAACCTATGGCTAATTTGATTAAAAAAATGAAAAATTACCAATATCACAGTGAAAAAAGGTAAATTTAAAGCCAATGAAAATGAAATAACAGCAATGATTAGGTGCTATTTTGCTCAACTCTATACCAATAAAACTGATGATCTAAATGAAATGGATGAATATTTACAAAAATATAAACTTTCCAGATTAACAGAAGAGGAAAAAGAATGCTTAAATAATCTTATCTTAAAAAAAGAAAATGAACAAACCATCAGTTAGCTCCCTAAGGAAGGAGGAACCAGATGGATTTTTCAAGTGAATTATATCAAACATTAAAGAATAATTAATTCCAAAAAACCCTAGTAACCTAGTGTTTGATAAACCCAAAGATCCCTGTTATTGGGACAAGAACTCAACATTTGATGATTGTTGGGAAAACTGGAAGGTAATCTGGCAGAAATTAGGCATAGATGAAGATCTCATACTGTGTACCAAGATAAGCTTAAAATGGGTGCGTGATTTTGTCATAAAGGGTAATATCATGAGCAAATTAGTAAAGCAGAGGAGAAATTATTTATCAGATCTATGGATAGGGGAAGAATTTATAAGCAAATGAAACAGGAGTCCTACCCAGTTCCTTCTCTGACACAATTATGGTTTTGATAGACACAATATCTTTAAATAAAATACTAACAAGGAGATTATAACAATATATCTCAAAGATAATATACTATTACCAGGCTGGATTTATATGAGGAATGCAGTGCTGGTTCAATATTAGGAAAACTATAAGCATAATTTACCATATCAATAAAAAATAATAAAAATCACAATTATTTCAATAGATGCATAAAAAGCTTCTGGCAAAATACAATACCCATTCCTGTTAAAAAAAAAATTAGAAAACACAGGAATAAAAGGAGCTTTCCTTAAAATAAGTAGCATCTATTTAAAACAATGAGTAAGCATTTTCTGTAATTGGAGTAAGCTAGAAGCCTTTCTAGCAAGATCAGGAGTAAAGCAAGTTTGTCCATCGTTACCATTACTATTCCATATTGTCCTAGAAATGTTTGCAATGGCAATGAGACAAAAAAAAAAAAAGAAATGGAACTGGTATGGGATAAAAGGAAACAAAGCTATTGCTTTTTGCAGATGACATAATGGTTTACCTAGAGAACCCAAAGAAGTCAATTGAAAAAATAATTAAAACAACTACTTCAGGCAAGTTGCAGGATATACACAAACTCAAATCAGCCTTTCTGTATATTACCAATAAAATCCAGCAGGAAGAAAGTGAAATTCCATTTAACTAAACTAAAAATTACTAGAATTTTCAAAACTTTTTTTTCCTTTTCATAGTGACAAAAATCAACACAAAACTCCTTATAAAAGTCATCCTTGAGATACAGATGAAACCCTAGTTTGCAATAGATGCATTCAGAACTAAAATTGTTATAGTACTGAAAGATTTCTGAGTCCTAGCCAATAGTCCTTTCCAGCAAAATATATGACAAAATTCCACTAATACAAAAGAGCTGGACAGTCTTTTGGGAGTTTACTGTAATAGGATTTAATCCATACTACAAGAGCTAGTCAGGAAAATCATTGTAATGACTTTGTGCCTTGTGTTTCTGTGGCTCAGGTTTTGTGTGTTTGTGTGTGTGTATGTATGTGTGTTCTCTTCATACCATCTTTATGTGACAATACAATGCCACTTTGCACAGTGCTCTTTGATATTAATATAATGAAACCTGTTTAAAAAGACTGCTTAATATTCTCTACAAGAGTAGCTACAAGAGGGCCTTTGCATATAATCTTGTTAATAGATGCATCTGTGGGTAAATGACATGGATTGCAGGAATTTTTCCCTACACACACATTCCTAGACAGGTTTTATTGCAATCACTTAAAAAAAATCCAAAACTTCTCAGTAGATAGGGGAGGGAGGGAGTGTGATTGGAAGGAGGGGGTGTGATTGAATGGACTTATTACATTTGAATTTGACTAATGTGTAGGTGGCTTTGTATAATTGCAAATATTTATTGGAATAAAATATTGACTTGGATGAAACCTTGGATTGCTATTTATTTTTCTCATTATTTGGTTAGTTGTGATTTCTTTTCCTCTTAACATTGAGACCTACATTTCCAGTACTTTGCTGAATATGTCCATCTGTGTTTCTGGCCTACACTTCAAAACCAACATGTACAAAACTGAACTCTTCGACTCCTAAAACACCTCCTCCATCATTATTTCTCCATTTCTATTAATTTTCCTATCTATGGTTTCTCCCTCTTCTTCATTCCTGGCACCCAATTAATCACTATGTCCTGCTGATTCTTCCTTAGAAATGTCTTCTCCCTTCATTCCTTCCTTTTTAACTATTTTGCCATCACCCCAGTTCAGATTCTTATCACTTGATTCCTGGATCATTGCAATTGCCTCCTAACTGGCTTCCCTAGCACCTGTTTGTTATTAATTCCAGTCCGTGCTATCATCATGACAGTCTTCCTCTTGCACTGCTTTGAACATGTCATACCCATGAACAATAGTTCATTTTTAATGGCTTTCCACTGATAAAAAGCAAATTCCTTAGTCTGGCTCTCTGGCCCTCCTTGTCCCCCACAATCTGGCCCCAAACTGGTAATCTTTCTAGTGTTATCTCCCATTCTTCCTCCACAGGAACTATAGCCCACTATTTGGAGTATTTGCTCCTCTCCAATGGGTAGTGCTTTCTTGCCTTTAGTCATAGTTTGTCTTCTTCCTGGAATGCTTTTTGCCTACAAAAACCTTTCCCAAGCAGTGGCAGTAATGATTTCAATTCATTTCAGGCTACTGATATCCTAGTGACCCCCCCAGGGCCCAAGTCCCTTTCCATTTCTTATATGATTATTCCTCAGCCTGCTGTGATCTCTGATTTTCTTTCTGTTTGTACTTTGTCATTTCCCTACATCACTTGCACAGCACTTATCATATATTATCCTATAAAGTAATCACTTGTATATATGTCAATCTGTTACTAGATTATATGGTCCTTGAGAGAAAGGAGTGCCACTTTTTTCTCAGTGCTATGTAAACCTTAAGGTGCTATATAAACGTAAACTATTATTATAGTGAAGTGCTCAATAGCATTTTTTTTGTAATAATCACATTAAGCTCTAGCCCTATAGTGTGATTTTTGCCTACTTAAAAGCACCACTAAGGTAATGCTGACAAAAAGTATTTTAAGAATGTAAATTTTAAAAATGTTTTAAAGTTTTAGAGATACACATGAATGATCCTGAAACTAGGTCTATTAAATTAGAAATCTGTTGTTCCTATGGGACTATTAGCGTTGCATGAGAATAGATTTCTTCTTACCTTCTCAAACTTCAATTTTACTGGTTTAGGATTGGTAGCAGCAACAGCTTCAGCAATCTCTTGACCAA